ATAATTACTGAAATAAAAAATCGTATGACAAATCTTGAGCGTGAAGCGCAAAGTAAGGAAATTTCATTGGTTGTGATATGCAAGATTGACATCCACAATGCCCCTGTGGAAATGTTTTCGGCAAATGATTTGCGGAAATTTGCACCATTTGGCAACGCTCCCATAGTGTTACGCAATAACTCATCCGACCTTAAAGGATTCAATAGAAAACACGGTTGTAATTGCATTGTCTTTGAAACCAATGGTTAGGTAAACGTTGTGCCTTAAAAAATCAGAGCGCCTGCAATTTTTTGTGTATGCAACACGGACATCCACAGGACACGAATAGTTGCATCTACACCTAGTCTTTGAAAAAACCGAAGCGCCTTTGAAAAAACCGAAGCGCCTTCACTTTTTTCCGCTCGTGGTGACAAAAGGGGTCACTCATTTCATTCGTATGTCGTCTTTGCACGAAAGTAGGGCACTAGGGCACTTTCAGCACTCAAATTCAAACTGGAAAAAAAATAACTAAAGAGGATTATCTGAAAGTTTGAAGTCATTCTAATACCTGTTTTACAAATTAATCCATCCTTTCCGGGGCTCATGTGGAAATCGAGATGAGCCTGTGTTACACTATCAAAACTAAGCATCAAAATATCAAGGTCAGGCGTTGTTACTGTACTGGCTTAGTCGATGACTTGAACCAATCACAGCACTTGACCTCGACATTATGATGGAGTATTGATAGTGTGACACAGGCTATAAGCCCCTACGTCAGAGGAACGACGATTTACATGAATTGGAAATTTTTCAAAACGTACTGCATGTGTTCCAGACAACTTGGGGTGGCTTATGCGTGCGCAACAACTGGTGCTGTCGTCACAGCTCTAGGCACAAAGTCGCTGATACAGGTAATCTTTTAAATCCTACTCGCTTTGATCAATCCTCCACAATTTCCCTTTCCTACCCCTTCATATCTCCTCTAAAAGCAAGTTTCTAAATTAAAAAGAAGTCAAAAGTACATTTTAAACGCTTGAAAAACTTTAAGAAGCGTAGCATTTTGAATCTGCTTTTCCCACAACCGCCAGCGTGAAAGGTTCTGCTAAAATTAGGGTCCTTTCCTGGTACAAATAATTTCCTCGACTTGTGGCTGAACTGGAAGCTGATGATAATGCTAGTCTTTGGAAAAAAATAAAGCGTAAGCTTCACAACTGGTTTTGGTGTTACTTTATTGCTATGTTCACAACATTGGTTTAGTACGAAAAAAATGTCTCTTGGTGCTGTAATCGTTAGCTCGCATTGCCATATCGCTAAAGTCAGGATTTGAGTCGAGCACGAAAACTTCAATAGAGGTCGTTCTGATCATGAGGTTTCATTCTAACCACATCCTAATAAAAACTCGGACTTCCCGAAAAAAGGCACAACTTTTGGGCTTGCTCTTCATGGCCCTTCTCTGGGAAAAAACATTCCCGCAACAACGCCTCAATATTGACCAAAGATGCTCCACAGGAAGAGTCAAATTATTGCGCGGAAAAGGGCAACGCGCGCAAACGAATTATATATCAGAGGCTAATAAATTGGATAAACTTATCAGAACATTTAAAATAATAATGATAATAAGAACTTTAAGAAAAGAAGAAGAAAAAAAAGAACTTTAATTCAAAAGTACGAGATGCTGAGCTCACGGAGAGGAGAAAATCGGCATCTAACTGAGCTGTGTTGCGTCTCATGAAATTGAAGGCGCAGACACTCTTCATTGAATGCACAGTCCTTGTTTCTTACATTTTGTTTTTGCATGTCTTTTTAGTCCTCCTCATATTTTCTATTTTATTCCTCAATTCAGATTTTATATTTTTCCTTGGTGTCTCAAGACGCTATGATTTTCATTTTTGTATTTTTTCAGGGTAGATCTTTACTTGCAAGATTTGTGCCTTTCTTCGGCGTCGTGGCGGCCAACTGTGTCAACATTCCGATCATGAGATATCAGTACGTGTTAATTTCGATATATCCTTAATATCCACAATATCCTTTCAAAGGCTTGAGCGTACAATTTCGTATCGGCTTTGCAACGCCAGACATTTTTTTCAGCCGATTCTAACTATTCAAGTCCATTTTATCTTTCTTTACGGTTCATAAAAATTCTTCAAAAAGTTCAGTTAGAAGTGTCAGTTCAAAAAAAAAGGTAATAATGGAGAAAATGCCGTAATAACTTATCAGGCCCGTTTTTTCATCCACGACTTCATCCGTATGTCATATTTACGAATCTGTCAAAGCCATTGAGAAGTAGCTGAACTTTTCTTACGTTAAGTCCACTTATCATTAGAATGAATTATTTTTCTTACACCCGCGCACCATTTGTCAACTCACAATCAGTAGTTAATGACTCGTTTATTGTATGTATTGTAGCGAATTGCGAGACGGGATCTCGGTGTACACAGAGAACAATACTCTCTTGGGGAAGTCTAAAATTGCGGCCAAGAACGCTATTGCTGCCGTTGTCTTCAGCCGTATCGTCATGGCTTTTCCTAGCATGAGTAAGTCCTTTACCTTCCTCATTCTCTTCATCTTTCCCTTTTTGTTGCGTTTCGCTCTGTAAATTAAAGCGACTTTGATAAAAAAAAAGATATAAAAAAATTAGTAGCTTTATCTACTTTAAGCCAAATTAGAATTATATTTATTTCTATTTCCACAAATTTATATTCATTGGCTTTTTTTCATATAATTATACATGTAACTTTTAAATCCCTTATCTTTTTATGTAGAAGGACTTACATTTCTAATAGAAATACACAAGATCTACGAAAAATATATTCAACCAGAATTAATCTTTTAGTAACAAATTTTCGTGACAATGTTGTGTTATCGGATCACGAGCTTTACCGGACACCTTGAGAAAGTTTCAAATTCCGAAAGTTTCTGTCAGCGAAGTGGGGCGTTCATAACGTCCGTTGAAATACTTTTTCATCGGTGACAAGCTTTTCTTAAGCAGAGCCAAATAATTAAGACTGGCTTCAGTAGCCCCTCCCTTAGCTCTCACGCGATAACTTTAGGGTTTCAAGGAGCAAGAACTTTTTAAAAATTAATTAAAAATGTCGATTGGTCTCAAAATGATTTACTTCTATGACTCGCAATCGAAACAATAACAGTACCTATATCGACGGCGTGAGTCCGCAATCACATTATCTCGTTTGCGGTGTCTGAAAATCTCCGCCCTATGTTATTTTTTTGAAGGAGAACAAATTGACATCGGTCCTGAAAGTTTTTGCAGAATCTTCTTCGCACAGAGAAGAAAAATCACGGCAGTTTCATAGAATCGCCGTTGAGTAGTTTTCCGTTTAAAAAATGAAGTATGACAAGAAGTCTGCGACGTCGCAAGCCGAGTTATGTGATTGCTGACCTACACCGTCGACATGTATGAATCCGTGAATTAAAAAGGAAAGATCGCTGAGTTTCATTCCTGAGGGATTAAACTATGAAAATGCTCCCTCAAATCCCATATACAGGGTTATTCAAAAGTCACGCACCATTGGCCATAACTTTAGTTCCAATTATGATATCGATTTGCGGTTTAAGACGTTTTTCCTCACATCGAGAGGGAAACTTTCTTAGGTACTTTCCAGTTTTTGATCCCTTCGGGGGGAGGGGGCGGGGGGCAACTCAAACATTTCTAATGGCCACTCCCCTCATGGTCAGTAGTGCGTGACTTTTAAATAACCCTTTATGTCATGCTGGTGTTAAGCAAGAATCTCGGCGCACACCGGGCTCGGAACTCGTCGACGAGAGCATAGCTCCAGCTCTCTTCATCTTATTACGACTCTATGTGCTCTATGGGGCAATGCTATAAGTTGTTCTACTGTTCATCTCGGGGCTGTGGAGGGGAGAGGGGGCAGCTCTGTGGTCCGTTTGTTGATTCCTGATGTTGATGAACTGCTCCTGTTGTGATCTGTGATAGGTCTGACGCCGGTGGTGATGCATCGCCTGGAGCGGAGGCCGTTCCTGAGGAAAAATCCCGTTCTCCTGGGCCCTGTCAGCATCCTCCTCACGGGCTTCGTCCTGCTCTTCGCAACCCCACTCGCCTGCGCCATCTTCTCACAAAAAGTCTGGGTCCCCATCCAACAACTCGAGCCACACCTCAAAGTATGATTTTTTCCTATCAGAGCGCATCTTTACTACACCTACACTACCGCGCTAAGGAAGAACGCCGTATGAACCTTCAGGCGTTGTCAAATTTCCTTTGATAAAACACAATTTTCCTGGTAAACTTCTGAATATTTTCCTTCCAATTTTTCAGTTAATTTTTGTCGCAGTTTCACCTAAAGTTCCTGAACACTCCAGGGGAAAATATACATATCTTTACTCAAAAATAAACATTTTATCGAAGGAAATATGGCAACTCTCGGATGTTCACACGGCGTGCGGCGTTCTTCCTTAGCACGGCGGTATGGCCCGTACCGAGTAATGAAATGGGTCACTAAACCTTTTATTTTTCATTTAATATTCTGAAAGTAATCGGCGAGCGGAGATTAAATGGTAATCTATTTTTTTTTTTTTTTTTTTTTTTNTTTTTTTTTTTTTTTTTTTTTTTTTTTTAAGAAGATTATTGATAAACATTACATGTCACTACTACCAATACAAAGAAGCGGTATCCATTGAATTGAATTAACTTATATCTAGATTATTTAACTAAAGTATAACGGATGATAAGGAACACTTATCATGATGTGGTCTGAGGCATGTAATTCCCCAGCCATTGATATAAACATAGATTATTACGTATCTTTGGAGGCAAAATTCTGGCAAAGCCCGCGTTTAGAAAGTTCAAAGACTCGAAAGAATTTCAAACACATGTACCTGTTTTCCTTTTCTTGTTTCTGGTCTCTTTTTGTACGTAGGCGTCCAGACGATGCGCATTTTAAGCTTTGCCAAGCTCATCTTCAGGTCCTTAAAAACTTTTTGACGGACTACACCGCACGTCACATCGTGATACGAAAAAGTTTATGAAACGAACGAAACCGAAGAACTATTTAGATACATTATATTTACGCGCGTTCCCGCTTCAAAAGCGGGCTTTTCCAGGATTTTAGGTCCAAAATAGTACGCAATAGCTCACTACGTTATCACCTCACAGAGTACTTTCAGAATATTACATAAAAAAATAACATTACCTATTTAAATTTGAAACACGCCGGAATGTCGACAAAATGATGGAAGCGATGCACTAACGGCAGTCAAATCGCTATCTCCTCTCATTTTCCACTAACATTTGTCGAAATAAATTCTACTTCAAGTATTGCTTGTTAATAACAGACAACATGAATGAGATACGATTCTTCGATTTTGATGCATTCATGTTTTTGGTGAAGTAATCGAAAATTGTAGGTACAGAGGCCCGGATTCTAGCAAACAACTTAAAAAATTATATCTCACCAAATTATTCTTCCTCTTTGTTTGTTTGTTTATTTTTTTTCTCTTCTTTTTTAAAAAAATCTAAAGTACCCGTGTATGTTCGCGATCACTATTGCCTGTCAATACCTACTAGTATGAGATCAAACCATAATGTCTGTTTCAGGAAGGAACCGATCCCAACGTTGGCAGAGTTTACTACAATAAAGGTCTCTAATTTATCAACTTATCATATCGGATCATCGCTTCGGAGACCTTTCTTCCAATTTTTGCCGCATCCCTCGAA